GTGTAGCTCGTTGGGTCACAGAGGTGCACAAGCCATCACACCACGTCAAGGTGCAGTCTCATCGTGATGGCAGGTTCAAAGTCAGGTTCAAAGAATTGCCCGCTGAGGCGCGCTTTCGCAATCCTGGAGATCATGGCGTTGTGGGCTCAATCGCTCACGGCGATTGCTTTTCTGTACAAACCGTAATTGTCAGTTGATCTGCTGTGATTTAACCCGTAACTTGCGTCGGTATGTTTACTGATCATATTTAGGATTGACAGCCGAAGTCTACTTTGCATTCGTACAATAAACGCATTGCAATGCACTGGCTTCCTTTGTCTAGAAGTACTCGATCGTGTCAGCTAGCTACATTAGTGCCATATCTGGGTTTTCGATTGTTTCGGTTCCCATCTAGCTCATTGGACGCCATAGCCACTGTGTGCTTCCTGGGAATACTGTAACATGTAACAATGTATTCTCAGTTTCAGTTTGTACAACCATTAACCGTGCACTTCCGTGCGACGGTTTTGGTTGCTGTCTTTTGGCTGCCCATTTGGATGAACAGTAGGCGAAGGTCAGGAAAGATGAAAGTAGAGTCGAATAGAAAATAGAGAATTTCAGTGGACTAATGCTGCAAAGAAATTGAGATGCACGAGTTTGTGACACTCAACCATATCACTCAGTGTATGATTATCCCGAGGTTCCCAGCCTGGAAGCCTAACGGGACTCATGTTACCCAGTCCCCTGTTTAAGGTTTTCATACCCTCATGCCAGGTCTTAGGTTGACTACCCCTGGTTTTTTTCCATCCACTACCTGCCTCCGCAAACGTCGCTCGCCGTGGCAACCTATTTGGTGACATGCATAACACATGAAACATTGTAAGACATTCCATCAAAACAAACTAGGGAATGCGGTACGTAATGGCAACCCCAGAGTCACTCGGCTTTTGTTCAAGAGTGTATTTTTAGCTCTTACACAACCAGGCAAGACCTGCAGAGTAGCCGAGTGGAAGTGTCCAGAACCGGTGACTTATATATCTTGATTGTTCTGAAATCAGGAATTTCTGACCAATCCCTTAGGCGAATTGCTAGTGCTTCAACTACCTGATTATATTTCCGGATGTTAACTTTTCGTCCACTTATGTTGATGGGAAATCAACACCACATAAATGCAGTGAATATTTCCTCATCTGCAGCGTTCATCGAATAAGAGAATCTCTAGTTGTTTAAAGGAAGAGCAGTTGGTCGCAATCCAGGACACCCACTTCGACCATACTTGCTTTCGAACTTAGGCCACCGTCAACCACAATCAGCTTGTCTGTTTCTATACTAAAGGAAACATTTGCCAAGTCGGCGGTAACATCCATTTTTGGTGTGCATCTGCCTCTCACATATTGTTTGATCATTCCTTACTGCAAACACAGTGTTATGTCCTGCGAGTTCATGTCATGTATTTTTTATATCATGGCGTGATATCTTAATCACGGCGAGTGGTAAATGTTACTTCCAGCAATCAGGTGAACATTGAAGTTGGTGCTTACATGGTTCTCCTTATCCGTGTCATTCTGGCTTCCATTTTCCCTCCCCACTATAGGAACGGCATTCTTCAATTGAAATAATCATTTTCTCGGGATCATTTCTACCTCAGAAAGAAAAATGCTCTTCGAGGCGACGGGTAGTTGAATTGTGTCGAATAGCTATCTGTCGACATGTATTTAGAGGCTTCGGGCAGTTTGTATGAATTACTAGTTCTGGGTAACTACCTGGGATATCAATCTTTTCGTAAAAGAACTTGCCAGTCTTTTCTCTTACGACGGCTTTCTATAACCTGTTAACTAGTGTTTTTAATATCTGGTTGTGATGGCTAGCTGAGACAACTTTCTAATGTATGGCCCAACTTGGGGATGCTATTTAATGGCGTCAGTCCAGACTCGTAAAAGCTCGCAGCAGGAAACGGGTTTGCGGAAGTCCCCTTATGAATTGTTGGTCTCGTCAAGGTTGTCACCACTATATATGCACTACGTAATCTGTAGCGCTTTTGGGTTCACGAAGCCACAAAAAGGTTTAGAATCTCTTGAAAACCATTCCGGCTATACGTAGATATTACTCATCATCATTATAATTCTGCGGCAGAATACAGTGAAGTGAACTTCACCAATCATCTTCAACCGCACAATGCATTCACGCTAAGGTGGAATTTGCAAGATAGACGGGAGTCAGGCCTGTATTGAGAGAGGAGGAAAGAATGTGAACCTTCATGATCATATTACTGATGGTTGTTTCCCATCCTATTCTAGGTGTTTTCTACAATGAATTGGAGACTCGTGTACGGTTGAGCAAGAGACGCAAGTTAAACCCATCCGGTTCATTTGCCACCGGCGGTGGCACCGGTGGTCTTCCTGCACCAAAAACTCGTTTGATTGTGCATCACCGCGACTTCACAGATGATGAATTAAAAGCACAAACAGACCGGCTCTATATGCTTGAGCATGATGTTGAAGGTGACGAAGATGAGGACGAGGAAGAAGGGGAAGACGGTACCGAGGCTGGTGGTGCAGAAGGAGAAGCAGATGCTGAACACGAAGGTGACGCAGAAGAACAAGCAGAAGAAGTAGAAGAAGCCGAAAGTCCACCACCCAAAGGTATTTTAATTCTCCTACCACCTAATGTTACTACCTGTTCGATAATTTTTGAGTGCATTTTTGGTGTTTTCATTCGGTGGACCCAAATTGATTGATAAGTGAAGAGCCTTACCAGGAGGATAAAAATAAATGCGGTTTACCCATGTGTGCCGAGAAAGTTCGTAGATACACGCCCACTGCTTTGTCCCACTCAGCCGCATCACCCACTGTTTCTAACCGTTGCTTAGATGGGGCCCGAGATCTCTAACTTATAAGTTTAGCACAACTTATTCAAGGTCATAGTTTGGTCGCCACAACCTTCCTCCTTAAACAGCACACGCTGTAGCATATTCTATACCCGAGCCCTCAAATCACCTGGGCATTGTTTGTATCATATTCCTGTGATTCTTTCATTTTTTGATGACCCATTATGTGTTCACTTTTTGCGCGCGATAATTCACAGGTCTCATTCTACGAAGCACTCAAATTAACAATTCATTTTTATAGTTTGTTCGTGATCAGTGTTGCTCGTTTCTCTCTGAATAGATGTGATTGGGGTTTTGTGTGCACTAGATTAAAAAAGGAGTTGCCTCTTCAGTTGGGTTCTCATTGTCGTAATCTTTCCTTCAACCCCCCTCCGTTCCAATTGTACTACTACAATGCGCACGGAAGGCACCAAACCCAGTCGCACGCAGACGACTGAAAGCGAAGACGATCTGTCTGACGATGATGATGAAGAAGAGGTCGCTGAAGACGATTCAGATGGCTCAGAGCAGGCGCGTAATCGAAAACATACTACACGTCGTAGCCAACCAGCTCCACGGGCATCCACCTCTCAGATATACCAATCAGACGATGGGGACGATTTGAGCGATCTTAGCGATTGATACGAACACTTTTTATCCTATGATGCTTTTGTATCATTTTTTTCCAGTTCCGTTTATCGTTGCATTACAAACGGGGTACACCTCGTGGCCTCTTCTAACTCAACTTACGAGTTTATAGAATCGGTAGTTGGGATCGTCAGGGATATGGTCGTCTTTATTTTCCAACTCAGTTTATCTAAAACTCATTTCTTTGTAACGTAGCGGGGCCTTATGTCGTTCGACATTTCTACTCCCGGGCTTTTGGTTACCGGTTTCCATCACCAAGCAACAGGTGTTGGTGACTAGGGCTCCACCCTATCTACTGTTCATCACACAAGTGTGTAATAAAGCCAACCTAATTTTTTGGTAGGTTATACAAACGGTCGTCTGCTTACGATTGAAGTCAATCATGCAATTCTAAAATACCTGCAGACCGAAATTACAAAGGATGCGCTCATAACATTTGAGGAGGTTCAACTTAAGGAATCCTGATGAAGCAAATTTACGACTTATGGCAACGATGAAAAATGTTCAGCGATACCTGACTGATGTGCATGAGGCTCCTCCCAAGTGGACCATTTATCATGTTTACCTATTTACATCTACCTTGTATGTGTTATGACTTTTGTGGCAATCGGTGCAGATCGCTTCATTGTTTTTTCGTACGATGTTAATACCACCGAAAAGACACGCAAGCAGAACATTGTAGTCTTTTAGTCATTTCTTTTGAAAATTCCTCCAAATTCGTCAAGTATGAGATCAACATAATATATGTGCATTTGTTTTAGTTAGATAAACGAATACTGCCAGGCGGTTTAACCATTCAACGTTTAGGGTTGTCAATTGCAGCTTTTTGTCACGACGAAGACATGGCCATAAGGCAGCGGAGGCTCATCTACTATTATCTTTGATAAAAAATCAACGAAATCATACTCAGCACTTATTTTTAATCGTGTACTCAGCTGCAAAAAGGGGCTTCACGCGAGATGGGGCCTCACTAGTTCTGTTCGGCACAAGGAAGGCGTTTCATCATTTTCGAATTTTTGCAGCATGAATGTATGTAGTACATGAATTTGATTGGGACATATCAGCAATATCACGAATACAATATGGTGAAATACAGTATGATCAAATTGTTATTGTAGACTTTGGTAACTGATCCACATTTTGATTTAGCTTGAACATTATGTGATTGTTGTCTGTTGGTCCCTCATGGGGCGTGAAGTAACTACTACGATTGCTTTGCACGACGCATGCTTATTGTTACATGTTGCATTTTCGGATTCTGTTCTCATCTTACCCGTGTTGGAATAAATCGATCTACTGAAAATCGCACACAGAAACTCGTAAGCAAAACAATCTTGCAACAGGAATTTCTTTACGCTAGTCTTCTTTACTCATAAGTAGTGTGATTTTTAGTCCTAAATTTCCTAAACGAAATTACTACGATTCATGTTCAGTGGGTGTGATCGCATGATTCTGTTGCTGGTGTTCTAATGGTATTTACCACAGTTAGTCGGGGCATTTGGAGGCGGATACACGTTAGTTTTACGACCATGCATTGAGCGGGATTAACGTATGTAGTACAGTCTTGACAAAGATTTTATACAGAGAAAGGAAGTGTCGAAATGTACAGCTGTTTCTTGCACACGGATGGTTCATTTGAATCTAAACTTAAGCCACTAAATATGCGTCATGGGATAGTCAATACCGGGTTTAGCTTCTGTAGCACTCTAGTTCTGTCACAACGGGCTTGCACTTTAACGTTGTGTGGTGGCTTGTGTACGTCTATGGCCCAGCGAGCTGTACAGGATGGCTTTTCACAGATCCAATCATGCCTGAAGATCGATGGTCAGAGGCCAGGTAAAGCTCGGTCTCACAAGCCAAGCTGCTTGGACATCTGGCTTCCTTTGACTAGCCACCCTCGCCCATGAAGAGGTCATTCCAGCAAATAAACACAGAAGGGCAGTTTACCTGTCGGAGCCCCCTACTAGTTGACCTGACAGCGGAGTACCTGGGGCTTCCTTCCGACGGTATGATAGGTTTTCGCACTTGGACAGCTGCCTCCCGCCCAATTTGGGCAGCCTCCAGCCGATAGTGGTAAAGCTGGTTCACAAGAGAATCTATCACCTTTCTTACCTATCGATAACATGACTGATTCATACCATTTAGCTGGAGCATGCCCGCGTTCCCATATTAAACCCTGGAGTTTCCTCAACTTCAAGTCAAGGCTAAACCTCTATCTCTAAATTTCTAAGGAAGATCCATCGGTGTCAGATTCCTTATGCTTTTTGAGAAAACTTGATATTCGAGACTCCCTATTTCGGAAAAAAGGTTTAATATCAATTGACTGTAGTTGTCCAGTTGACACAGGAGGTGATAAATCCATAATCAGTGGAGGCCGGTTAAGCCGTACCGGCTACATAGTATACATTCATGTTGAACGTTTCAAGGGTTCTAGCTAGGTCAGCTTGTTGGTCGATTTGACAGTGTGCAGGCACTGAATACGGCAGATGCATCTGATTGCGAGAGGGTATAATCGGTGTCATTTCAAGTTTCTGCTCGACTGTTTTCCATCGTGGAAGCTCCATGGAATCGGACTAGCATGCTGTCTGCTTGGTGCTCCTTATTCCATCGTTTGAATGAAACGTCAGCAAATGTGTTGAAACCATGCGTTGGAAATGACCATCTGATTAGTACCCGAAAATTTGACTGCACCTTATCCATCCTAGCATCGACGGCCGAGGCCAAAACTCATAGAATATGGCTGGTGTTGTCGTAAAGCCTTTCGGTTCGATTGGTAGTAGAATTATTTTTTCCTGTCGAGTTTAACCCAGAATGTTGGGGAGTACATGTCTATAACCCTGTAGTTTGTTGAGTACCCTCTGAGGCGTTAATTTTTCGTGTTGCATAGTTCTTAAGTTGCAGCTTCAATGGATACGAGATGTTTATTTTGTCGTTGTACCGAAAACATGTATACACTGAGTTTCCATGTGTAGGAGAGTTCTGGTTTTCCCGCTGGCAGCGTTCAATGACTGGTGTTAGGTTTCCAAGCTTGGTTGTTATACACTACGGCCAGACGGAGAACACAGGTAGTATCGCGTCCGGGATACCTTAGTATGTCAGTGATGTATTTTCGTCAGACTTCATTTATTGCCTTGGTAATGTGCGCCAACTGATGTTCCCAGCCCCATTCATCTTTTGTTTTGAGGGTGCACCTTCAGCTCTTGCGCAGCTAAGTGTAAACTACGACGGAGAAGAATTGTATGATTGTTGACAACATTAATTAGCAAACCAATAAATTCAACGCGCACATGAGAACTGGGGAGGTTTGTGTTCGTCATTTGTTTCGTACACTCTTCCCAATATCTTGTCATCACGATGAGAGTGCGAATTGACGTGGTGTGATGGCTTGTGCACCTCTATGACGCAATGGGCTACACACGCTGGCTTTTATTAAACCAGATCTTATCATGCTTGGAAGGTCAGAAGGCAGGCAAAATTCAGTCTCCTGGTCATCCAGGTTAAGGGTTCAACTAGAGTTAGCGTCTCTATCGGTTAATGGTAGAGGATTAATACATCCAAGTAAATGGGCTTCTTCGCTTTACCCGCTTCCTTGCGTTTCGGTTCTGGTTCGAACTAAAACCTTTGGACGAGACCCCTAATAGTCCTCGTGCAGTACTCGTCCAGTCTATTGCATACTGTGATGTCTTATGCTAAGGTGTATGATCGATATGAGCACCTCTTAACTAGTCCCCAACAATTCGAGAGGGAACACGGCTGAGGAGCGACAGTCAGAGTATATTATTGATCATGAAGCAATACGCAAATATAGATGGTAAATCAGTCGTACGAGAAACGATGTGATGACGCACCAATCAGGTTCCGACCTTGATACTCCGATTGGTTGATGTGACGACAGCTGTGTGATTCGCCTTCGTCATCCAATCCGGAATCGATTCGGCTTGGCATCACGAACGCACTTGTGGTGTGACGCGGGTCGATGCGCGGCCGGACGGATTCTGTACGCTCCGTCCTAACACATACACAAACTAAAAATAATTCCATACTGCATCGGTCATTGTGCAGGATGATCCAGACCGCGCTACCCATTGCATCGATCGGGGTGGATAGTGATAAGTGGGCTACTGTTCACACATTCCAACCTTTGTTTAACTCTTTATCTTATGTACCCGACCTTTTCCATATACCCCGTCTTCCGACCCCTAACATTCTCTCAGACAACTTCATCTTCACTCGCCACAGTTCGTTGCCAAGTAGCTGTGTAAGTAGTTTCCCACTAAATTCACTGCATATTCTACATCTGGGGTCCTGGGGACCTGATGCAGGCAGGTCAACAAGCGTTTCTTGCGCGTACAATGGACTCTTTGCGGATTGATGTCTGCTGCGTATCGGAGACTCGAATCCGGGATTATAATGCTAGAAGCCACTTAAGTGCACTGGATTCACCCTCGAGATACTTTCTCTGCACGTCAGGTGACAACGAAGCCCGTTCAGTAGGCCAGCCGGGCGTGAGCATTGTACTCAATAATACAGCCAAAGCGTCTTTAATCGATTGGATCCCCGTCAACAGTCACTTATGTGCGATGCTGCTCCAATGGTCTATGAGTGTCCAAAAGGGAAGTAACTCCAAAAAAGGTTTGTTCATCATTTCGGCGCATGCGCCGACCAACTACAGTTTTGTGACAAAGTTACCGAACTCATTCTCTTGAGCGGAAGCTCCGATATAGTTGTGGCTGCAGGTGATTTTAACGTGGAAAACTTAGCTCACCGGAAGCTGGCCTAGGCAGTCGTTGTACGCTACCTTGCCGACGAACAGATAACGGCGATTGACTTCTCCAGTTCTGCGCAGATCACCATTTGCTCCTATTCACTGGCAACCTCCGACAGTGCTTACAACGGTCAAAAACGTAGCGCTCCAATTCAACTGATACGCTAACTGTAATCGACCACAGCAGTAAGCTACCGTTAGCGTGGCTCAACACAAAACTGTAGGTCTT